TGTATGATATGACATCCAGGAAAGTAGTACTTTTCGTAGTCACCGCTGTGAGAAGCTTAATTCCATTCGATTTGCCTAACCTCCTTCTGGTACAATATGTTCTCCCTAACAGAACCTTGCGTAAGTAACATCCACTTCAGTCATCGTGCGCAAACACAAGTGTTGAGTGTTTAGACAGTTTGTACAGAAGTAGTGAGCGGTTTTGCTGTTTGTTTTGACATCTGCCTCAGTACAATGATGTTAGTTGCTTTGCAGTACTAAGCTGTTACAGCTAAACTTGCGTGTGAACTTTCAAACTAGTTCAGAATATAATGCAATCGGTTGCTCTACTGAGTCTAAATTCCTTCAGCGAGTTCTGTCTTTGTCATAATATAGGTATCAGTATTACACGGTATTGTAATTGGTTGAGGCACTATGCTACAAGCTGGAAGATCGCGGGTTCGATTCCTGATGAGGTCACTGGATTTTTCAACTGACCTAAACCTTCCAGCCGTACTATGACCCTGGGGTTGGCTGAGTCTCTAACAGAAATGAGTACCAGCAATATTCTTGGGGGTAAAGGGCGAGCGGCGCGTAAGGCTGACAACCATACCGCCATCTGTGAGTCAATTGTCTAGAAAATGTGGGAGCCTCGACGTCTCATAACCCTATGGGCCTCCGCGACCTGTTACAGGGATAGCTTTACTTTTTTATCAGTATGAGTGTTATATTTTTTAAGTCTGAACATCGTCATATATTTAAATATTCAATTCGAAAATTCACTTTCAACTTCACAGTAACCTGGACTAACTGAGCCAGTATAAAGGTCACACTAAGGTCTGGACTACCAAGGGATCGGAGTTCCATTCGTACCAAAAGATTTTCTCTTTTTCACACCATAAAAACTGTGATGGTCACTCAGCGTCTTACGCAATGGGAACCGTGGACTTTGCCCAGACATAAAATGGCTGTAGCTTGAAGCTGACCGTTTACTTCCATGTACTGTCGAGACGAATGCGTGGAGCTATATTTCCACTTTCTTAAACGTCTTCATGCCGTTGTGCTTAATTAAGTACGGCGACAACTTCACTGTTTTTAGTTTAGTTTCATAAAAGAGCTATCCGTGTAACAGGCCGCGAAGTCCTATACGGCTGTGAGACGTCGAGGCTCCCAAATTTTGTTTATACAGTCGGCTCACAGATGGCGGTAAGATTGTCAGCCTTATGTGCCGGCCGCCCTTTACTCTCAGGAAGATTCCTTTTTTATTATTATTATTATTATTATTATGCTTCTTTACAATCTACATCATTACAGAGTGTTAAGTAAATGTGTTGTAGATGGTTAGCTTGCAAGGGAAACATCCAGTGATGATGTGAGATTCCTGGTACTCATTTCTAACAGACCTGAGTCGACCTCAGGGCCATATTGTGGCTGGAAGGATTAGGTCAGATGCAAAAAAAATCCAATGACCTCATCGGGACTTGAACCCGCTACCTTCCGGTTTGTAGCATAGTGCCTCAACCAACTACGCTACCGCGTGCCCCAGATTACTTTCATTATTTAAAAAAATATAGAAGTAGGCTTATGCGATCTCCATTCTGTCTGTGTATCCCACCTATCAGATTTTGAACGCCTGCTTAGCTTTTGCTTCAATGTGGAATTTTTAATATTGTGACATTTGCTTAAAGCGAGCACTGTTGAGCCAAGGAAACAATCATTGCAAAGTAACGGCTCTGTAACACGCAACAATGGAGTAACTGTTGGAAGCGATGTTTTTTGTGCTGTCCGTGAGGCTATATAACGAGGTTTAGCTAAAGTTTTGAGAGTGTCTTGATACAGCAGATAGAAGGGGAGGATGTTTGTATGAAATGGCCGCTAGCCTACGATGACGTCAGCCCGGGAGCAGAGGAATGTTCGTTGTTGGAAGACGTTACCAAGCAGCGCAGTGAAGATTGTGACTGAGAATAATATTCTTTGTGTGATAGTGATTTGTAAAATATAGTCGCGAGTTGTTTGTTGAAGTGTCCAATAAATCCATTTACGAATCCATACTTCGTCTCTAGTCACTCAATACACGTGACAATAATTTACACAAATTTAAGACCTCAGAGCTTTAGTATTATATTGAAATATATTTCTGAAAGAATAATTAGACCACGAATATATTAAACGGACAAGTTCATGAGCATAAAACTGGTCAACAGTATTCCTAGAAAGAATTATGAGACAAATACCTGGAAGACTGACTCAGCGCTCCGACTTGCAAACAGGTGTGGGTTTGTGGGACACGCTATATAGTTGCTGCCGGATGTTGGCTGGTAACGTGCTCAGCTTCACAGCTTCTCGTGCCGGAAATGTAAATAGAACTACCTATCTCTCTACCTCCCTCCCTCTTTCTCTTTAACGTTGAAATTAGAACTTGCTCCAAAAAAACTCATACAAGTCTCGCCAACTAATACAGTATCAAGTCACTGGTTGTTTTATTTTTCCACTGCCCAGAGAAATAAAATTATTTGACTGATTTTTACGTTACTCAACAGTAATCATTCAGCTGTATAGATTATGAGATGGGATAGTACTATGAATTATCAGAAATAAATTATTTGGTAGAAGGATATAAGCTGTCTGAAGGCATAACCTGACGAGAGAGAAGTCAAGTCGGGGGTTTACTGCTTATGATCGAAATTACTTTTGATATTAACGTTGGAAATGCTGCATTATATTAAAATTTTAATTTAACGATGGAAGGGCTATATGTGAAGCATGTAGTGCAACATGAAATTTAGGTACCAACTCAACATTTTTTCTAGGACCGAATAAAAACCACGGAAGACTCACTGCTCAATTGCTGTTGGCTTTCGCCACCACAGTAATTCCTTGTTCCTAGTCCCACGGGACTCATAACCATATTTGGCACTCTAACGGCTCTGGGAGTCTTCAGAGTACGGAAAACTAAATACTGTTTCTTATAAATATTATATGATTCAGTTCTTACCTCACAGGGATACATGACGTGTCTGTTACATAGCCTAAGGCAGGGTCTACACGAGAGCACAAAATGCGTCCGTTGTAACGAAAGTACTTTGGTGAGGACACCACACAGTTGCAGAATGCGGTGCGTAGTTTCATTGCAGACAAGAAACTACGCACCGCATTCTGCAAGTGTGTGGTGTCCTCAGCAAAGTACGTTCGTTACAACGGATGCATTTTGTGCGCTCGTGTAGACGCTGTCTAACCGGTTAATGCTGTTTAGGGAAACAGTCGCTGTTTTTGTGAGAACTGTACGGAACACATAAACACACTCTGTGGGTGGAATTCAATGTTTAATACGTTGACACAGGGACACAGGTGATATATTGAATTACCGCGTGACTTTTAAGTGTTAAGTAAACACAGGGATATCTACACTTTTATCTCCGAGCTGGCATCACAGATCTCATGGAGGACCAAGGGTTGGCTGTCAGGGAAGGGACTGCCTCGTTGCATAACGAGGCCTCCACCCAGAGGTTGGCTTGGCTTTGAATTGGTAACACAAGAGCAGAGGGTGGGGTGCCCATATTGAAACCATGTTTATTAAGCCACCTGTTCACGCTTGAATTTGTTGCGTCAAGGACCACTCCAAGTTGTAAGTTCACTGAGCGCATATCAACACGGGAATGTTCGTTAAGCAGACAAGAGAAAGTGCGCCTGCTTCTTTGTAAGCCTCGCAGTCTAAAATAATGGATCGGTAATACATGTTAGGGTGTTTGTTTGTTTGTTTCTTCATTTAACCATCCTCTCAGTAGCTGAGGACGATCACAGTGGCCGCGTGGTCTAAGGATCAACCATCTTCGCCCGCTCGAACACTGTGATCTTGGGTTCGAATTCCACTAGAGGCATAAATGTCTCTGTGTGTCTATTTTGTGTTTATGCTATCCTGTGTGTAGGTAGAGGCCTTGCGACGGGCTGATCCCCCGTTCAGGAAGCCCTAATGTCTGTGTATAGGATTAAGAAACTGAAAAAGCGGCCAAGGTCCAAAAGGCTGTAGAGCCATTGACAGAGAAAGTCAGTAACTCAGACAGAACAGCGTAGAATGATTAGTGATTAAAGAACTGGAAAGTATTTTGAAGGATTATGTCCTAATTTAATGTAGTGAGATTGAACTAATCCGAGGTTACTGAAGAGAATTACGAACTGTTTGGACATAGGCATTTTTTTTGGCCGAGTACAAGTTGCACTCCGTATATAATACTGTTTTATTTAAGAATTGATATTTTAATGATACTGAAGGTTTACATTGTAATCTCCTCAGATAAGAAGCCGTGTAGTCTGGTAGATGGGTAGTAACGTGTTCGGGGAACACATTGCAGCCACATGCAATGTGTTCCCCGAAAGTTACGGCGCCGTGTACTCTAGTAAATGGGTACAAAAGTTTCGTAGTAACTTACTGCTACTATTTTCAGGAATTTTCGACGTTAGGTCATTGTGTATTGTAAGTTATCACATACTGCCTACGTCTTCAGGATGCCCTGATTGTTATGACACTGTGTAGTATAGTAGGTTTTTTTCCCCTTGGGACTACAGCCCCAGTGGGCCTAGGCATACCTCCATGAACTTCTCCTTTCACAGTGTAGTAGGTTACTAACCAATATTTCGCAACAAATTACTGCCTCCTTCTTCAGGACATTCTCTTATGTTATGGCGCAGTTTTATCTGCTAGATGGTTACAAATCTTTCGGAGGAACTGATACTTCCATCTTAAGAGTACTTAGAAATTTGTGATGCCGTATATTGCAGTAGGTGGCTGTTAATATGTCGGATAACTATTACTTCTCTATCCCAGGATATCCTGAAGATGGAAGTAGTCTGTTATTCTGAAACGTTGGCACACACCTGTCGCGTTACGCATAACCCAGAAGATATCAGTAAGGATTTTTTCACTGTCGTGAAACGCCCAAAACTTTTGTCAATTTTGTTTTTAATTAGACTGTACTTTGTTAATAACAGTGATATATGAATTCCCTATTTAACTGTTGCTGCAGGTACTGGACAGCGGAGAGGCCTCGCGGTGTGCAGTCACATTATCATGCTGTGCGTCGGATGTGCCGTGAACGAGGTGTGCTGTTTGAGGACCGCGAATTCCCTCCTGGCCCTCGTGTTCTGTTCCATCATAAGAAACCACCAGTTCACCCCATCGTGTGGATGAGGCCAGGGGTGAGTGTCTAGTGGGCCGTGACTCCACCAAAACAGAGAATTTGTTAATAGCAGAGGAAGGATACGCATATGAGATCATTTATGTTAATTAGTTTGCTGTAATGAGCTGAATTACTGTCGGAAGAAGGAACTGTATACATAGTCACTGCATATTTGAGCACTAATTCGACACCACAAAAACGAATACAGGGTGATTCTAAATTATTGTCGGTTTCCATGGTCTAGGACCGCCTATGTGGTCTAGTGGTTAGAGTTCCTGGCTATAGATCAATATGTATCGGGTTACATTCCCGGCTCTACCAGATTTTCTGAGAAGTAGTGGGTCTGGAACGGGGTCCACTCAGCCTCGTTAGGATAATTGAGGAGCTATTTTAAGGAAATAGCGGCTCCGGTCTAGAAAACAGAGATTAACGGCAGTGGGGATTCGTTGCGCTGAACACGTGACACCCTCTATCCTCAAAAAGTTGGCACTAACTTCTCCGACAAGCGGCGGTCGCTCGGTCGGTATAGTTCACTTGCCCACTGCAGGCCATGTAGTTTGTTTCCATGGCCTACAATTTTCAAACAGGATAGAATAAAATAAAACTGTTAACACTCGCCGAAGCTTGGCGAGCAGCTGAAGTAGTGTGGACGAAGATTTACGAGCACGAGCACGAGCACGAGTAATGTGGACTCGCCTTTATAGTGTTTCATCCTGTTTTTGTGGTGCTTACAATTAAAAGTTGAACGCTTACCGTCACACAGATGTTTTTATTAATCAAATCACAGCCAAGGTAGGCCATCATGGGGTGATTCTTAAGAAATACACAAATGGCTACTGACTACACATAAATTACAGTACTAGTATAAAATCTTTGCTAGTTAAAATTTGGGTCCCTTCCGACTTACTATTTTAAGTAAATTCGATTTAAATTTAAGATTAGATATAACTATTACAAACTCCATGGCCTGTAGTCCGCAAGCGAACTATAACGACCGCCGCTTGTCGGTGAAGTTAGTGCCAACTTTTGCGAATAGAGGGTGTCGCGTGGTCAGCGCAACGGATCTCCACGGCCGATAATCTGTTTTCTAGACCGGAGCCGCTATTTCCTTGAAACAGCTCAATTATCCTCACCAGGCTGAGTGGACCCCGTTCAAGACCCACTACTTCTCAAAAAATCTGGTAGCGCCGGGAATCGAACCCGTAATATCTGGATCTGTAGCCAGGAACTCCGACCACTAGACCACAGAGGTGGTCAGATGTAACTACTAGAATTTTTAAGCTTAAACTGGCTCATTACACCACGTGCGAGATAACTCTACAGACGAAAGCTATTTCCACCATTCACTAAGCAGTTTGGAACGTGTTCGCAAGTTGTCAGCACCTCATGGATACGGTTACTGAGGAATACTATATTTTCTATATAGTAATATTGTGTTTTAGCGTCATATTGTATGTACACTATTTTATTCAGTCTGAGTTTCAGAATATATGTATAATTCTATTATAACTATACAGTTTCTACGTTACGACTTGTTTTGGCCACTATTTTTGGCCATCATCAGCTAGGCTTACTCAACTCCGCTACCAATTGGCCAATGTTTACAGTTGGGGAAGGTCGTAGGCTTTTAGTTGTAGACTTAAGTACTGTAAATTATATAAACTTTTGCGTGTTGTTCCGAAGGTCATGCGTTATTAGCAATACAAACGTCTTTTCAGTTTGCAAATTTTGCCTTAAAACCTACAAATCTGCCTTAAAATTTGGTTTAAGTAGGTAGGATAATTGGAACTAGTTAATCTTAGACAAATATTGGTTAATTATTCTTATTATTACAATTTTTATTGTTTTATATTCATTTTATTCAGACGTCTAAGGTAAAAAGGTAAAGCTATCCCTTTAACTGTCCGTGGAGACCCACAAGCTTGTGAAAAGTCAAGGCCCCCACATTTTCTAGACAATCGGCTCAGAGATTGCTGTGAGGTTGTCAGGCTTACGCGCCGGCCGCTCTGTGCCCCCAGGAAGATACGTGGTACTCATTTCTGTTAGTGGCTGAGTCGACCCCAGGACCATAGTGCGCCTTGAATGATTAGGTCAACTGAAAAATCCAATGAGTTCATCGGATATTTAACCCGTGACCTTCCGTTTTCTAACATAGTGCCTCAACCAGCTACGTTGCCGCGTGCCTCATTTAGACTTCTAGAAACTGTATAGTTGTCTGCATATATTGTGAGGATGAAACGGAAGAAAAAGATAGCATATATAACCTAATGATAACCTAGACACTACAATGAATTCCCTCTCCCCAACAACTGAACAGCCCGGGTGTTTTTGTGCTGCAGGAGATGTGCCAGAGACCAAAGTTCATCGCGACGGAGAGCGGTGGGGGCGGAACAGCAGCCGACGCTGGGCGTCTGGACGTCGAGGCCGGCGAAATGGGCGATCCATGGCTCCTGGCCGCCATCTCGTCGCTCACGCTCACTCCCCGCTTCCTAGATCGTGTCGTACCGCCCGACCAGACGTTCGACCCTGCTACGTATTGTGGGCTGTTCAGGTAAAGTACAGGCCGTTATCGCCACACATCAAATCTGAAGTGATGTCCCCTTACGGCTACGTTAGCCCCTGCGGCAGTTTGTTTAGACTATACGCTTTGCATATGTGTCAGAAAGGTTGTCGAATGTCACACTTCTAGTTAATCCTTGATTCATTAAGCAGCTGGTTGAGTGCCATCCTTCGTTCGTTCGTGGCTCTACAGCCCTTTGTTGGGCCCTGACCTCTTTTATTTCAGCTTCCTAATCCAAAACACAATCGGTGGGATTCATTTCATAGGGGATCAGCCCGCTGCAAGACCTCTGCCTACACACAGGACAGCACAAACACAAACATCAATGCCTCGAGCGGCCGAAGACATGTCATGCTTTAGACTTCGAGGTAACTGTGATTGGTGACCGCCCTTTATACGGTTGCGGAATATTCTAAGAGGGCGCGCACTGGGACCCGCAGGAGTGCGCAGAACTCCACGTTTGTCGAGCCGTGAACATGAGAATGTTAATGTTCCTCTGAAGCTTTGGTGTAGAAATCTGCGCGGTGTCACAACCCCGAACACTACAGGCTGTATAAAAATATGTGTCCTTTTTACGGGTGTGATACATGATCCGCCCACGTTGTTGCAAGGACACTTAGTTAGTTAGTTATTGGAGAGGGTGGGTTTCCCCATGCACTTAGACCAGTATTGGTCCATTGTGCTTCCCTCTATGATATTCTACCAGTCTCTATACCCTACCGATATTGGTGCGTACCATCAGTCCCGACCGAGCCAGCGAGTTCGGCCCCTACTGGCTTGGCGGTATCTATAATGCTTCCCCCATCTATCAGAGGCGTTAGAGACCACTGTTGGGCGGGAAACGTCCTTGAATTTGGCTAAGTGACCTCCTTTGGAGATATGAGGTTCTTTTACGTGCCCTAAAACTACGACACGGGACCCACGGCTTAAAGTCCCTCCCGGAGGACTTGTTTCCTGAATTTTTCCGCCCTTAAAAATTACACGACCTCCGCCGGGTTTGAACCCGCGTACCACGAGTCATGAAGTGGGAACGTCACCTCTAGCCTACGGAGGCCGCTGCAAGGACACTTACTGATTCTATTTGAGAACAGGGCGCGAGAGTAATACTGGAAGTACGAACCGTGAAATTACTGAAGAACAAACCCTTACACCAGCAGTAATCAACCGCCGGGCCGCGACCCGCTTCCGGCCCCCGTCTTATAGAAAAAAGAATTTACCGGGCCGCGGTCTGACAAAGACTGAGAACCGCTGCCTTTTCGCTTAGCGGGGGGTGGAGTCTAACTTGGTCCACTCGGCACGGCGGCCACTGATTGGCCTATTGTAGCCTGCCCCGGTTGATTATGATGATGGAGAATTTTAGTGGAATGAAGATTGGCAGGGGAAACCGATGTACTCTGAGAAAACCCACCCCAGCGCCACTTTGTCAACGACAAATCCCACTTGACCAGACCCAGGATCGAACCCGGACCACCGCGGTGGGAAGCCAGCGACTAACCGCTTGAGCTATGGCGCCGCCAACCGCTGCCTTACACAGCCAAGACCTTCACTGTACGGATTTACGTGCTGCTTAGTTCATTCTTGGCCTTCCTGATGACAGTGCCCAGTTCTTCTCTCGTAAATGATTCTCTACATGTTCCAAACATAGGCTACATGCTGGATGTCCAAATAAACTTGGTACTGTTCCTTGTAGGGCCAGAAATATTTTCACTTCATAAAGTTCGGGCCGTCTCTGTGACCCACCCGGTCTCTTATGCGGCGTAAGCCACGGATTTTCTCTGGGGACAAAGCAGCCGGAGCGTGAAACTGATCACATATCGCTATCTAGTGTCGATGTTAAGAATTATGGAGTTATCCCTCTACTCCCCCATGCGTCTTCATGACGCGGTGCTTAATTAATTAGTCATCAATATATGCAGGCTACAGCTCAAGTACTGGTTCGGTTATTGAATCAATAAGCATGACAGCGGCGAGACATGTAGCACGCGTGGATATACAAGATTATATAGTTTTGATTGTAATATATCAAGTTGAATTATTCTCCCTCTTGCCATCGCGCCTAGACACGAATTTGCATTGCCTTTCTTACGTGTAGGTACAGAATGTAACATGCAATTTGTTAACCTTTCATAAATATTCAATATTAGCGTACAAAAAAAAAGCGTCTAAAATTCATTAAAACGAAATTTAATTCCAGGCCATTTCATTCTTCTGCAGTGAAATTCGGACAGAGATTGATGGTTGGGGTGGAGGCTGACCTTGCCCAATTTCATGTTTTTGTCTCGAAAGATTCGGGAAGACCGCTTAAAGGTAACAATGATGGATGGGCTGCCCATGTTGACAGATTTACAGTAGGCGTGGCTTCGGCCAGTATAATTGTAAAGAGTCACCAAAACCTGCCTCAGCTACAGGCAAATCGACAAATTCATTAACCAGTTTTCCCTTCTGCATATGCTGTATAGAATGAAAACAGAGAAACTATTGCCTCATTTTGTGTGTAGATTATTTTATGCAGTTTGGGTCTCACAGTATATGCATAATTCTATTGTAACTATATAGTTTCTGCATCGGTCGTTGTAGCCGAGCGGTCTGAGGTATGAACTGTCTTCACTAGCCCGGAAGCCGGGATCATAGCTTCGAATCCCACCCAAGGCATGGTATGTTCAGTGTTTGTGCGTGTGTGTACGTTTTTCTGTGTTTGTGCACAAGTAGAGGCCTTGCGACGAGCTGATCACCCGCCCAAGGAGTCCTACAGAATGTGTAAGATCTAGTAAAACCGAAGTGAAACGGAGAGTTTCATGGATGTAGGCCAAAGCCCAAATTGGGGCTGTAGCGTCAAAGAAAAAAAAAGGCAGTCTCTACATTACAATATGTTTCGAGCCACTATTTTGGCCATCGACAGGTGATACTTACACAGTCACTTTCAACTCTTTCTCCGGTATTCCCCCTCCGTTGGCCAATGTTTACAATTGAGGGAAGGTCATAGGCTTTTAGTTGTAGCCTTAAACAAATACTGAAATTATATAAATCTTTGTGGATCCAGGTTAGCGCAGTCGGTATAGCGACTGGCTACGGGTCGAAAGACCGAGGAATCAAAATTCTCGTGCGCTTCGCAGCCGGTGGTGCGTGGGTGACGGTGAAGCGCAGAACCGTGAAACCAACCTCCTATCCAATGGGTACCGGGGGCTCTTTCCCAGGGGTAAAGCGGCCGAGCTGACCATTCACCTCCAACTAGTACCTAGTACTAGTACCTATGGATCTATACATCCACTCCCTCATGGCCCAGTGCTTATTTAATTAAGCACAGTGACGAATTACCGTTTTTAGCATATATAAACCTTTTACTCGTGTTCTGAAGGGCATGTATTATTCGCAATAAAAAGTCTTTCAATTTTATATCAGCCTTAAAAATCTACTTTGATTTTATTTCAAAATAGGATAATTTTGAACTAGTTAAAATTAGACCAATATTCGTTACCTGTTGTTAATATTTTAATTTTCGTCTTTATTAATTTATATTTATTTTATTTAGACGTGTGGCCCCGAGTCCTATGTAATTATAATTTTTCTTGATGAGCACGACAGAACCAGATTCTCGTATGATGTGTGTATTCTTTTTTCGCAAACTGTATTTATATTACATATGCGTATTTTTCGTGTTCGCTTTCTGTGAGGTGGTTTTGTTGTATCCTTGTGTTGCGTTCAGGATGCGTGCTTGTGTAAAACATGAAAAGTAAAGCTACCCCTGTAACAGGCGGTGGAGGCCCGTAAGGTTGTGAGGCGTCGAGGCTCCCACATTTTCTAGTCAATCGGCACACAGATGTCGGTAATGTCAGCCTTACGCCCCGGCCGCTCTTTACCCCCAGGAAGATTCCCGTACTCATATCTGTTAGAGGCTGAGTCGACCCCAGGGCCATAGTGCGACTGGAATGATTAGGTCAGTTGAAACATCCAGTGACCTCATCGGGAATGGAACCTGCAACTTTTCGGCTTGTAGCATAGTGCCTCAACCAACTACGCTACCACGCGCCCTGCGTGCTTATGTAGGGCTCCAGTTGAAAACATTCTCTTGGAACTTGGTACATCCCTAGAAAGGTCTCGAGTTTGAGCCTGTAAAAGGACTGACTGTCACAGAAGTTTGACACGCTTTGGTATCTCCTACAAAACAAACTCCGTGATTTTAGTCCGCAAGCGAACTATACCGACCGAGCGACCACCGCTTGTCGGCGAAGTTAGTGCCACCTTTTGCGGATAGAGGGTGTCGCATGGTCAGCGCAACGAATCCCCACGGCCGTTAATCTCAGTTTTCTAGACCGGATCTGCTATTTCCTTGAAATAGCTCCTTAATTATCCTCACGAGCCTGAGTAGACCCCGTTCCAGACCCACTACTTCTCAGAAAAAATGTGGTAGCCCCGGGAATCGAACCCGGACCTCTGGATCTGTAGCCAGGAACTCTGACCACTAGACCACAGAGGCGGTTTGGTATCTGCTACACTTTTTATTATATGCGTCCGTGCCATGAAGCCGAACACCCACCTCCGACTAGTGTCGAGGTGAAGAATGCGTGGCTGTGTACATCCGCTCGCCTATACGTCTTCATGTTTTAATGTTTAATTACTTAAGCACAGGGACAACTTCAGTTTTTAAAATTTACTTTCCATCTCATAATTCTAACGAAAGTGTGAAAGGAATGGCGAAGAAAATATATTTTATAAGCATATTAAAAATATAACTAAATTATTATTGTTGATTTAGAATATTAGTCATAGGACGAATAAGAATACGTGTATTCGAGACTTGGTTTCTAAAAAGTGGCCCGAGGAAAGAGATGTACAGATGACCACGGATGACGGCACAACGACTTCTCAGCGGGACGTCGGTTGACTGCACAATACTCATGACTCCTGACAGCGGCACTCTGAGTGACATATGGCGTGACAGTTACATTAATCAAGCGACAAATATGCAAAGTTCAACCTTGAAGACAAGGGAA